CCCGAGCATCCTTCGGAAACCCCAGCTACAGCCGTGTCCTGCTCTGGGGGTGACGGCTCGGGTGGGACACCCGTGCTGCTGTGCAGGACACGCAGGAGGACCACAGGCTCTGCTCTGCCGTGCTGCGGAGGGCCGGGGGGATTTGTATGCCCTCTGCTTTACGGATCACAGCTCTTCTGCCAAGATGTTAGAGGCATTTGGAAAGCAGACTGTAATTCCTTAGAGCTTTTTTGATGTTTCAAACATGTTTCAGAACACAAAATAGAGAAATGTGATGGAAGAGGAAGCTTGCTGCTTTAAACTGAAATTTTGATGTCAATGACAAGTAGCAGATTTTACCAAAATGAAAAAAAAAAATCAGTTAGGAAACAGAAAATATTTATCTGATTAATAAAAAAAAAACCCAGACCCTTAATTTAAAATACTCTGTGTGGCGATCCTGCCATGAAGTCGTCATAATGCTTGCTGGGCTTGTTGTCATCCCAGTTGCTCGGGATGTGATGTCTCCAACTGGACCCTTGCAGGACCAAAAGGACGATGAATATGGCTTAAGCGACATGTTTAACAACTTGCAAAAATGGGGAGAGCTGTAGGGAAGGGGGAGTGCAAACCTTTTTACTTAGGTGCTATCTGTTTAGTGTGTAAGCTGGGTGAAGTGGGTCAACTTCCATGTTTTTGCGTGGTTAAAGCGTGGTGCAGGGTAGCTGGTGCTGTCAGGTGGCTTTTGTTGGCAAGCCTGAACCGTATCAGCAGCTTTCGGAACAAAAAAGGACAACTGGCAGTGATGGGTGTATCTGCAAAGGTGTTTGGGGGCCACACTAGGTAGCAGCAGGACTACGTTTAAGATCATCTGCTGCTCAGGTGTCCCTGGCATCGTACCGTAGCTTGTTCTGTGTCTCTCTCCTGCATCTTGTGGCTGCCCATGAACAGGAGACTTCCCGGTCCAGGGCTGATATTTTGGCCCTGCTCGTCAGTGCGTGGTGGCATTGGGGTCATGGTTGGACTTGATGATCTTAGAGGTCTTTTCCAACTTTAATGATTCTGTGATTCTACACATGATGTTTTTACGACCCGATCAGGTTGGAGACGAGTTGGTGATTAAACGTCCAGCTGTGTAACTGTGGTTTTATGTAGGTAGCTTTGCTATGGGTTTTCCTGCACCTTGGAACCTGAGGTCCAGGCTGTGAGCGTCCAGCCACTGCCCTCCTGGCCCTGGGCTGGAGGTTTGCTGGTGTGGTGGCAGCCAGGAGGCTCAGGCTATTCTCCCTTGCCCCTCCTCTACCCTCTGCACGGTGAGACCGTCTGCATCATCTTTGGGAGCAGAGAACGGTGAAGCTTGGCCACTTTGGTGTTGGGTCTTGATGAATTGGGTCAATCCATTCTTATTTTCGAGTGAACTTCAACGTTCACAGCAGCTGTGTGTGAGCTTACCTGGTGAGCAGCCATCAGCACGTAGCAGCAGCGCACGTTGTCTTTGGGATGTTGGTCTGCCTAGTGTAGGCCCTGTGAAGAGGTCTCGGAGAGGAGCGGCTGCCTGGCCGTTCAGGTTTGACTGGAGTTAACGTGACGTTGTGTTTTTCAAACTGAAGTGTCTCTCAGTAAAAACAAAACAGTAACGCAGAGGACCATATGGTGTGAAGTATGGGAGAAAGGTTTCCAGCTGAGTCTGGGGGAGATTTGTCCCCATCCAACAGGACGGGAACGTAAAAAAACGAAGAGACAAGAAATGCTGATTCGTTAGATCTTAGCTGATGTAAACAGAAGTTCAGCCTCCCATGCACAGGAAGATGTGTGGGAAGGGAAAATGTCTTTTCTGGGTGTCTGCAACATCCTCTGACAGACTGGGCAAAGGTGAACTCTGATGGCCGCTGTCTATGTTGTCTCCATTTCAGTATTTTTCTCCCCGCATTTAGACCAATTCCTACGAAAATCCTACTCCTGATACGTAGAACTTTATATTGCTTTTAGATATCCTCTAAGAAGTGTTGGTAAAAAACCCCAGTATGTGCTTTTTATACTCCTGAGTGATTGAAGCAGCCAGAAGTGGTTAATATTTTATGGACATGGGAAAAAGAGCAATAAGCCCAAAGTCTCCTAAGTAATATAAGCAATGGAGTCAAGTCTGTAGAAGCTTTGCGTTTTGTAAAGGTGTGGAATATGCTCCTTTCGGTTTTTAGTTGCAGAAGCAGTTGTTGGCAAGTTAGAATGCAAACACTTGCCGCAGATAAAAATTCGTATTTCATCCTTTCTTTTATTTATAATTAAAAACTCAGCACTCGGCCATCTCAGTGCAGCTCTGTGTGGGGGGCTGTATGTTGTGTACTGAATGCTTGTCTAATTAATAACAGGTAAACAGCACCCGTAAAGTCAGCCTGGTTAACTGTTCCACTTAATATCCAATGAATAGATGAATTAAGCTGATAAGTAGCTGAGCAAGCTCCGTTAACTGCTTTGTACAAATGAGAAGAGAGTGATCCTAAAATGTCACCAATCATTTATTGCAACAGCAATCTTTGGCAGAGACAAATTAGGAATTGCGATTAGTTTTGACGGCCAGGGTGCCCAGCATTTTCTGTGCAACTGCAGTCGTTGGTGGTAGCTGAAAGTCATATCCCTAAGGTAGATTAAAAATAAAGAGCCCTGATAAATTGGTGTCATCGATCTGTTTGTCTTTTGAGAGTGGCCCCCAAGCTTTGCTGGCCTGTAGGCAAATACTGAGCGAGTAAATCATGTACCCGTGGTCAGCTCCACGCTGTGTTCTTCCCGGCAGCCTCCCTTTTAACTTTTTTAATTTTCAGTGACTGGAGCGCTGGAAGGTCTTGCTGGCAACGTGCTGTCCACAAGCCGCAGCCCTAAAATAAATGTGGCAGGGCTTTGTAGATGACTGCTGCCTGGCATTAACAACCTCCAGCGTCCCAGCTTTCAGTCTGATTAGCCACCTCGCTGGCTGTAAAAGCGGCGACGTGCAGAGGAGTGGCACGGCGCATCCGAAGGCGAGAGCGTGCCGGGCGATGGGGGACTCAGCTCTCCGAGCACCCGCTGGAGGTCTCGGTGTTGGTTTGGGTTTAACCACCCATGGCGAGAGGAGCGGCCCTGCACCTGCCGCCAGCTCCTGCGCTGGGGGTCCTGCTGGCGCGGGGCGTTGAGCAGGGACCGTGAGCCCGGTGTCGCTCCGGGCTGGTGCTGGGCGAAGCTGAACAGGTCTCAGAGATGGGGTGCATCAAGAAGAGTGTGGCCAGCAGGACGAGGGAGGTTCTTCTTCCCCTCTACACTACCTTGGTGAGGCCCCATCTGGAGTACTGTGTCCAGTTCTGGGCTCCCCAGTTCAAGAAAGATGAAGAGCTACTGGAGAGAGTCCAGCGGAGGGCTGCAAGGATGGTGAGGGGACTGGAACATCTCCCCTACGAGGAGAGGCTGAGGGAGCTGGGCTTGTTCAGCCTCAAGAAGAGAAGGCTGAGAGGGGATCTTAGAAATGCTTATAAATATCTGCAGGGTGGGTGTCAGGAGGATGGGGCCAAGCTCTTTTCAGTGGTGCCCAGTGACAGGACAAGGGGCAATGGGCACAAACTGAGGCACAGGAAGTTCCGTCTGAACATGAGGAAGAACTTCTTCCCTCTGAGGGTGACGGAAAGCTGAACAGGTCTCAGAGATGTCGTATGCTGTGGTTTGTTACGGTTTGTAACAAAACAGTAGATATTACCCTTACAGGCAGGAACGTGTCTCAGCAAATGTTGGGGTATTCAGTAAATTTGGAGGGTCTGGAGAAAGTCACTTCCCTGCTGGGTCTCCAGCAGTGATTTTGCTTTACAGGTCTGCTTTTACCCTGCTGCAGCAGTTCGTGTACATGCAGATGTACGGCTGTAGGGCGTGTTCTGTGGAAATGCTACGTTTGCTCTCATCTGCTGCTGGCCTCTGTGGCAACCGAAGGCACCGAGCTCTTTGCAGTGTTGAGCCTGGGGAGATATAACGTTTATTCTTCTGCGAAGGCAGGAGAGCTAATAAATACTTGTAGGAACTCTGTATAGAGACAGAAGATGAGAATGCAGAAGATGCTTGTACTGAGGCATGAAATACTGACCTTTCAGCAGTCTAGAAGTCTCAGATCATTATATATGATCATGTTTGTGTATATTGCAAATCTTTTTTTCCCCTCCCTGACATCTCAAGTGAGAATTATGGCAGGTTCCTTAATTTAAGGAACAGTCCCAGACAGTTACTCAAACAATTGCATAATGTGTTTGGGGATTAACATACTGTCAGCTTGAGAACTGCTTAGGGACCTTGGCTATCAAGGAGAAAATAGCCCTGAGCAATGTTCTGGTCTCTCTGTTGTAAAAAGCAACCGTCAGCCTCCTTCACACGCTGCCCTGGGAAGGAAAAGCAATGCCTGGTTTGTCATGGGCAGGCAGAGTTTTGGGACAGAGCTGGATCGTGACCAGGCTGTCTTTGTGCGACAGAGATGTCCGTGCTCGGCAATTTTCATGGCTGTGCTTGATCAGAAAGAATCAAAAAGAAACATCCTTTAGTTTAAATCTAGAGTCGTGGTTTAATACTTAAGAGCCTCTTCATCCTCCAGAAACAGATGAAGGGTCCTTCTGGCTTTCAGCCAGCGATGACAGGTATTGATTTAAGCTCTGTCGGATTCAAGATCCCAGATAACCTGGTGCGAGTAAAACCAGAACACCAATAAAGAGGACATGGTGAGAAAAATGCTTTGTGTGTGCTGTGTTTGATTAAGATTGCCTGAAAGAAAGATATTACGAATGTGCACGTATACAGTTGTTTTCAATTGATTAATGACTTTTTTGTGTAACTTGAGGTCAATGAAAAGATTGCTTCTTTGGCTTGTACCTTGTAAAGGAACGTGGTGGAGAAATATAGATGGATAAAAGCAAGATGAACCGAGGCTCAGCTGAAGCTAACTGCTTTAGCTAACTGCTGCAAGAAGTGCAATGAGTATATGAATATGTATATTTATCAGAAATTATTTTTTTCTACAGATCCCACAAATCAGTTATGCCTCAACCGCACCAGAGTTGAGTGATGACAGGCGCTATGATTTCTTCTCACGTGTGGTTCCTCCAGATTCCTTCCAAGCACAAGCAATGGTGGACATTGTGAAAGCTTTGGGATGGAATTATGTGTCCACTTTGGCATCTGAAGGGAATTATGGAGAAAAAGGAGTCGAGTCCTTCATGCAAATTTCCAGAGAGGCAGGTAGGCAACGCCCGTCCTCCCTCCAGCCAACGCTATAGAAGTAATGAATGTTATTTTGTGCCAAATGTTATATTATTCTTCTAGAAAATATGTTTGATTCTAAAGTTGCTCCGGTTCTTTGCAATGCCTCTGTAATGGCTCCTAGATACTCTCGTTCCTGAATTGCTGATGGAGTTTCGGGGAGTTTGAAACCTTAGTGATTTTCAATCATTTCTGGAGAAAATAGAAAACCCTGAGTCTTATCAAGTTCCTGCTGTTCCACTGGATGGCATTGTGTTGTGTTGACATGGGTAGGAGACATTTTAAAATGCTGAGCTTTTATCTCTCCACAGCTAGAAATTCTGTGAAGACTGCTTGTTAGCAGACATCGACTTGTGTCATACTATTGTTGTTCACCTTTCGGATCGCTGCCTGACTTGTATTGCTTTTCTTTAGCATTTCCCTTGACTGATTCAGCTGAGAAACTCATAATCTTCTACTTGAAGGCTCAAAGATTACTGGCCTGGGATACGGAGGCAACAAACGGAGCCGTGTGGTACGAGGCACATCAGACCTTTGGTGTGATGCGTCGCGTTTTTCTTGTCAGTGCTTTCATCTAGTGGTGTCCCAGGAAGGCCAAACTGTGCTGGACAATGTCATTGTCAGGGAGAGGTGTTCCAAGAGGACAGGGAGATGCTGTGTCTTGCGCTGGCTCAGGCTTGTGGTGTCGAGTGGAACCGTCGTAATGTTGTTGACAGAAGTCTCTGGTTTCACAGCTTGTTTTCCTGTTTGGGTACAAAACGTAGAGCAGACCTGCCTTGAAGGTGTGACTGCCATGTCACTGTGCTCAGACTCTTATCCCGATAACTTATTCTTCAGGGTAAATAGTTCTAAATTTCCCCAGAGGTGCCAGAACGTAGGAGGACTTTAGACGGCACTTCAGGGAATAGAGGTAAAAATGCACGGCAAGCTGATTTTCAATCCGGAATCATAAAGGTTTGGAAATTGAAATATTTAAAGTTGATTCCCGTGCTGGTAACGAAAAATCAGCAGAAGATGGGATTTGTTGTTGGTGATATATGCAAGGCCCATGTCCAGAAGCCATCAATGATACATCCTGGTCGGGAACCCCTCTGTTGTTCTCCCAGAATCAACTGGCTGCGCGCAGGGTCAGCATCACGTCGAGGAACCTATGCCTGCATAGATTTGTCTGTTCGTTTGAATGCATATTTATGGAGTATTAAAGAAAATGGGTTTGGATTTAATACTGCAGGAAGTGACAAATGCCAGTGTTCATTATAATTTAAAATTGACTTTATTTGCAAATGTCCGCTGTTGCAAAATCATACCAGAAATGTGTTCTCTATGTCAAGGACAAATTCTGGCTGAATAATACCGTATCATTTTCTAGACCTTCTGTAGAATTAAATTAATAAGAAGTGCTGTTCATGTTGTCAACATGTAATTCAATGTCCTTCATAAAAAATAAAGCATAAGACCAAAAGAATACCCTTCTTAAGGCAGCTTTGAGTTAGGTCACGCCTACAAGATTAAGACACTAGCAGGGATGGTGCATAAACTTCCTTTCGTCTACGCAGCCTGTCTTGTCTGGGGACTGGAATAATCCAATCCCCAGGGCTGCCTCCGATGCAGTGCAGCCGCCTTCCCTGCTCAGGGCTGCGTGGAAGTTCTTTGTGCTACACAGGGAAAGCTTAGGTGAAGTCCTGAGGGGATTTAATACCTGTCAACAAGTTCTCTGGCTTTTTGAAAGCCCGGGAAGCGTAAGATGGTCCTGTTACAGAACCACAGAATGGTCAGGGTTGGCAGAGACCTCTGTGGGTCACCCAGCCCAACCCCCTGCCCAAGCAGGGTCACCCAGAGCAGGCTGCACAGCACCGCGTCCAGGCGGGGCTGGAATATCTCCAGAGAAGGAGACTCCACAGCCTCCCTGGGCAGCCTGGGCCAAAGCTGGAGACGCACCGGCATTAGGCAGTCGTTATTAGCTCTCAGACCGTTGCCTTGTATCTCATAATCGGTGTGCTTTGGCAGAAAAGAAGATTTAGTCCATAGATACCAGCGTGTTTATTGTCTTTGGCCTCGAATCTGTAGCCAGCTAATTATCCCAAATTCAGTGTTCTATCCAAACTTGTTTCTGATTCAGGCAAGATCTGAGGACTTGTGAGGATGAGTAGAAAGTGCTATCCTTGCTTAGTTTTCAAATATGCTTTAGTATATAAAGACTTTGCTTGATCCTTTGAGTTAATAATTCTTCACGTAGTGACTTTTATTATGAGTACTTCAAGCGAGTTTGAATATGTCATTGTGGCAGGAGATGAAGATTTGAAACATGCTCTGCAGTCTCTGGGATTAATAAATTAGGAGAATGGTCTAATTATGGAAAATCTAAAGGACAATTTCAGATTATTAATGAAACTACTGAATACTTGAATTTCAAAGATTAATTCATCTTTGATTTTTTTTAAAGATTAATCTGTACCAGAAGGTTAATTGCTATTTGTAAGAAATATATATTGAAGTCGTTAGCAAAAGACCACTTGACTGCCTCCTAACAGATAAAGGAAAGATCTAGTATGCATTCATTCATCTTTTTCTCTCCGAAAATCGCCTGTTTTCACAGATGAGTACACTGGCTGCTTTGCCTGGGGAGACAGTGGTGCTCCCCCCGCCAGCTGCAGCTCGAAGGGGGTGAGGAGGGGGATGCCCGGCTCTGCAACCCGCGTGTCTGCTGCCGTGACCTCCTCCTCCTGCCTTGCCGTAGCTCCCTCCTGCCGCTCCGGCTCAGCAATAAGGAGTTCTGCTCAGCAAGGCTGAAGCCTGAGCACGGCTTTGCTGGTTTGCACCAGCTAGACCTGTTGCATTTGCAGAGCAGCGTGTCAGGGGAGAGAGTAGGTTAAACTAAGGATTAATTAGTCTAAATGATGATGGTCTCCACCATTAGGAAAGGCTGGAGAAGAAAAATGCTGGAAAAGCATGTTGTCTTTCTCTGTGTGCCAAAGACATGGGGGGGAAAAAGAAAGGATTAAAGCTCTAGTAGCGGTGTGCTGATATGATTATAGATGCTGCAGTTTCTTCTGAAGACTTTCAGTCGCGGTGTCGTATTTGTTAAAAGGCTGTCATCACCTTGACAGAACAAAAAAGCAGAATAAACCTTAATCCACTTTAACATGGGAAGCACAACACTTGCAGCAGGCTCTTTACCTTCTTTTCTCCCTTTTTTTGCTGGAGACTTTTCTGAAATACTCATTTCTTTCATTCTTCTGTCTCCATGATCCTCGAGTGCTGTGCAGACGGCGGTTGCGTAGGGTTGGGAGCATCTGGTGCAGCAGGGATGGCCTAGATGCCCGAGCTGCGGGAGCGGAATTTCCTCAGAAACAGGAGAAACATCGAAAATCATTCTTTGTCAGGGCAAAGAAGAGACCCCTGAAATTATGAATTCTTTTCCTTACCTTCATAAGCAGAATTTTTTTCCAGCGGTGGTACTGAGCAGTGTTTCTTTTCTATCCCCCCATTTAAACTTGAATTGCCTTTTAATCTTGTTTTTCCTGGCTTTATATTTGCTAGTGAAAACCGTAGGTGTACACACACCTACATGCCAACATGAGACCCATTGCCCTTGTGTCTGACAAGGGTCCCTCCACCGAAATCGGAGGAACCACTTTTTTGCATGCTGTTATAATCTGTGCATTAAATAGGATAATCTCCTAATGCGTTGGTTTCTTTACAAATTAGCTACATACAATTAAGTACCTCCTACAGAAATTGCTTCCTATGCATTTGTTGTCTGAAGCAGAAATTGTTTTAAGCGCTTTTAGCCACCCAAATGTGAAAATGTGACAGCTTTTCCTAAAGCCTTGATATCTGTTTTCTGTGCTGACTTGTGTTTCTGAAAAGATCTGAATTTCTGGATTCAGGTTTTTGGTGATCTGAATCATCTCACGAAAAAACCTCCACGTGGCACATCCTGATATGGTGCCCTCATTCAGGTCTTTGCTATGGAGGCTGACGCCGTCAAAAGCCAGGAGCTGCTGTATCATCCCACAGTGACTCACTCAATGTGCTTGTAGGCTCCTGTAGGTCTGCTCGACTGCCTGCTGTGATCCTGAATCTGCATTTTTGTATGAGGACTTCATTTTTATGCTGTCTGTTGGGAATTCCATTAGCACAAATTAGTGCTGGTTAACATGAGAGAGTTACATCATTGCTACAAGGGAGCTGTACAACTGCTGGTGTTGTAAGAAGGGAGAGCAAACTATTCTGTCTGCGTGTCTCAAATAGAGTACTGATTCCTATTGCCAAGCAGAAAATCCTGATTTTTTTTTTTTTTTTTTTACATTGTGATGCTAGTGAAGCATCTTGTGTGTTTTTCTTGGCCCGTTACAGCCCTACTGACTGGGTTTAGAATACTCGTTGCAAGGAGCAGGCACTTTACAACATCATCCAAGTTTAAAATAAGCCCAAAAATGAGAAAGAAAGGTGAAAAAAGTTAGTGCCGTCACTGTCATGCACTGTGGTGGGCAAAGGTTGCATTGGTGATTTAACAAATAACAATTACTTATGATTTATTACTGAAGCTTTGCCCAGCATGGCAAAGGGTGATACCACCCATCGTCCAATGATGCCCAAAACTGATGATCTATGGTTCTGTTCTGTGTGGCAGCTAACAGAACTCAACTTCCAACAGAGTCACTGTTCAGATATTCGTTTGAACGAGTGACTGTTTTGGAAGAAGACGGGCTGAGGTGTTGTCCTATGATGCCTGTTCATTAATTTAGCTGAAGGAACAGCGCTTTGCAGGCTCTGTTCGTTGGATCTCCCTCTGCCGTAACCCAAGCGACGGAAACCCTCTGCAACATTTCAGCGAGAGCAAACTGTTGAGCTTACCTGTTGAGGAATTGGTCTATAAATACGCTTTTGAAGAGCAGTCCCAAAGCCAGCCTGAGAAAGGCAGACGTTGTCCAAGCCGTGTTTTGCGTGTGTCTCGGGTGCTGTCACTTCAGGGA